TTCAAGACACTAAAATGACACGTCTTAAACCCCCAGTATGTGGTATTGTGCCCCTTTAGGGCACTGTGATCACATGTCTTAGACCCCTGTATGTGGTATTGTGCCCCCTTCAAGACACTAAAATGACATGTCTTAAACCCCCAGTATGTGGTATTGTGGCCCCCTTTAGGGCACTGTGATCACATGTCTTAGACCCCTGTGTGTGGTATTGTGCCCCCTTCAAGACACTAAAATGACATGTCTTAAACCGCCAGTATGTGGTATTGTGCCCCCTTTAGGGCACTGTGATCACATGTCTTAGACCCCTGTATGTGGTATTGTGCCCCTTCAAGACACTAAAATGACATGTCTTAAACCCCCAGTATGTGGTATTGTGCCCCTTTAGGGCACTGTGATCACATGTCTTAGACCCCCTGTATGTGGTATTGTGCCCCCCTTCAAGACACTAAAGTGACATGTCTTAAACCCCCAGTATGTGGTATTGTGCCCCTTTAGGGGCACTGTGATCACATGTCTTAGACCCCCTGTATGTGGTATTGTGGCCTTCAAGACACTAAAATGACATGTCTTAAACCCCCAGTATGTGGTATTGTGCCCCCTTTAGGGCACTGTGATCACATGTCTTAGACCCCCTGTATGTGGTATTGTGCCTCCCTTCAAGACACTAAAATGACACGTCTTCAACCCCCAGTATGTGGTATTGTGCCCCCTTTAGGGCACTGTGATCACATGTCTTAGTATGTGGTATTGTGCCCCCTTCAGAGACACTAAAAGGACACGTCTTTAAACCCCCAGTATGTGGTATTGTGCCCCTTCAGGGCACTGTGATCACATGTCTTAGACCCCCTGTATGTGGTATTGTGCCCCCCCTTCAAGACACTAAAATGACATGTCTTAAGCCCCCAGTATGTGGTGTGGCCCCCTTCAGGGCACTGTGATCACATGTCTTAGTATGTGGTATTGTGCCCCTTCAAGACACTAAAATGACACGTCTCAAACCCCAGTATGTGGTATTGTGCCCCTTTAGGGCACTGTGATCACATGTCTTAGACCCCCTGTATGTGGTATTGTGCCCCCCTTCAAGACACTAAAATGACACGTCTTAAACCCTCAGTGTGTGGTATTGTGCCCCCTTTAGGGCACTGTGATCACATGTCTTAGACCCCCTGTATGTGGTATTGTGCCCCCTTCAGGGCACTGTGATCACATGTCTTAGTATGTGGTATTGTGCCCCTTCAAGACACTAAAATGACACGTCTCAAACCCCCAGTATGTGGTATTGTGCCCCCTTTAGGGCACTGTGATCACATGTCTTAGACCCCCTGTATGTGGTATTGTGCCTCCCTTCAAGACACTGAAATGACACGTCTTCAACCCCCAGTATGTGGTATTGTGCCCCCTTTAGGGCACTGTGATCACATGTCTTAGTATGTGGTATTGTGCCCCTTTCAAGACACTAAAATGACACGTCTTAAACCCCCAGTATGTGGTATTGTGCCCCCTTCAGGGCACTGTGATCACATGTCTTAGACCCCCTGTTTGTGGTATTGTGCCCCCCTTCAAGACACTAAAATGACATGTCTTAAGCCCCCAGTATGTGGTATTGTGCCCCCTTCAGGGCACTGTGATCACATGTCTTAGTATGTGGTATTGTGCCCCTTCAAGACACTAAAATGACACGTCTCAAACCCCCAGTATGTGGTATTGTGCCCCCTTTAGGGCACTGTGATCACATGTCTTAGACCCCCTGTATGTGGTATTGTGCCCCCCTTCAAGACACTAAAATGACACGTCTTAAACCCTCAGTGTGTGGTATTGTGCCCCCTTTAGGGCACTGTGATCACATGTCTTAGACCCCCTGTATGTGGTATTGTGCCCCCTTCAGGGCACTGTGATCACATGTCTTAGTATGTGGTATTGTGCCCCTTCAAGACACTAAAATGACACGTCTCAAACCCCCAGTATGTGGTATTGTGCTTGCCCCTTTAGGGCACCTGTGATCACATGTCTTAGACCCTGTATGTGGTATTGTGCCCCTTCAAGACACTAAAATGACACGTCTTAAACCCTCAGTGTGTGGTATTGTGCCCCCTTTAGGGCACTGTGATCACATGTCTTAAACCCCCAGTATGTGGTATTGTGCTCCCTTCAGGGCACTGTGATCACATGTCTTAAACCCCCTGTATGTGGTATTGTGCCCCCTTCAGGGCACTGTGATCACATGTCTTAGTATGTGGTATTGTGCCCCTTCAAGACACTAAAATGACACGTCTCAAACCCCCAGTATGTGGTATTGTGCCCCCTTTAGGGCACTGTGATCACATGTCTTAGACCCCCTGTATGTGGTATTGTGCTCCCCTTCAAGACACTAAAATGACACGTCTTAAACCCCCAGTATGATTGTGCCTACCACATGACATCACAGTGACATGTCACATCACACACCCATGTTGTACTGTGCTCAAATCAAGATGCCATAATGACACGCCATAAACCCCCATCCATTTGGTATTGTGCCCAAATGAATGAATACTGCCATTTACTGCCAACACAACAAAAGTACAAGAATCTGTACTTTACTGAGAAAATATACTCTTCACAAAAAGTTGAGCAACACAAATGTAGTCTCATTACACACGATTGTACACACGATTAACAAAATGAAATGAAATGGTATTGAGCAATAATAGACTTACAAATCATCAAAACCGTGAAACAGTCGTCCAAAATGTGCTGCATTGATGGAGCAAAATGTTAACATTAAGGTTCAAGTCAGTTTTGGTCAGTGAAGCAGTGTTCAGTAACGCGTATGACCACCATGAGCACAAATGCAAGCTTCTTCACGTATTTGCTTTGACCAAATGAGCCTTTAAAGTTGCTGTTGTGGAATGTTCTACCATTCTCTCTGTAACGCCTGCTCAAGGTCATCAAGAGTCGGGGGGTGAACATGGAGACCGTAAACACGACTTCCAATAATGTCCCAAGCATGCTCAATGGGATTCAGATCAAGGGACCTTGCAGGCCAGTCCATATGCGTGATGTTGTTGATCTAAACAACATCGTTAACACCTCTTTCTCGGGCATTATCATCCATGGACGGGTATTATCATCAAAACAAATAAAGTTAGGACCCGCTTGTTGTGCCAGAGGAATGATTGCAGGTAGGTTTGTTGTCAATGCAGGTAGGTTTGTTGTCAATGTTATCAGATAAATCAATCTGACATTCCCTTAAGGTTATGTATTCTTCGAATATTTACCTTCCAGTAACATGCCGGCAAAAATCGCTATCGAGATTGATAAAGATATTACACTGAAACTATTTGTTGCTTAACTTTTTGTGAGGAGTATATATATAACATATGCCTAAATCAAGATGCAATAATGACGCACCATAACAGTACAGATAATATGGGTTATGTTGAAAACTATAGTCTGTTTGCAGTGAAAACGTACCGATGAATTTCACTTTAAACAAAAAGTAAATCAAACAAAGTGAATTTAAGATCTTAATTTCACTATATTTGATTTACTTTTTCTTTAACAAACGTTTTCACTGCAAAACAGACTATAACTTGAAACTGGCGATTACACAATAGTTACATCTCCAAGAGTTTGTAGCTATATTATACAATGCATGCTTGTAAACGAAAATTAATAACAAATCTCAACAATATAGTATCGTTTACTCAACGCAATTGAACTATTAACAGATCATAAACGTTTCGTCAAAATGATTATGCCCAGCACACAGGTAAATGCACACAATATACAGAAAGAAATGCGACTGACAGACTTCAATGCAGATCTAATATAACGTCAGTTATGGAAAACGTGTTTTGAATATTGGCAGACAAAAAGGAAGAATGGTCAACAGCTATAAGGCATGATGCTCTGATTAAAATTCATTCTATCATGTCATGTCGTGCCGTGTCAAATTATATCATGTCATTAACTGTTACGTTGTGTATTATAAAACGGTCACCGCGGGGTAATACATTGTATCTTAGTAAAATGGTTCCCCTGCAAACTGAAAAGCAAACTGCTGTTTTACAAAAATACCACGTGCATATACACTGTTTAATCTATCAAATCATTCCAAAATATGTGAAACGTATTCTATAGATCTGCTGAAGTTTTACCTGTGTATAACAAACTAGCAAGCTCATTTTTTAATGTAAATATAAGGGTTTTCAATCCAGTACTGCTTCCGTACAGTCAATTTTGGGCGGTGTAAAGAAACATATATAATTCAGAAACGGACATTAGGCTGCCCGCATTGTGTTCTGTGAGTTGGCATCCAACATGGTAATACTTTCTTCATTGCTAAAGTTTCTGAGATAATGAAATGTACTCTTCCTATCTCTTTGCCAGTCAAGAATATTCACCCGTTTAAAATACTCTTTACCCTTACACATTCATAAAAAATGTCAGGTCAGCTCAATCTTTCTTCATCTGTTTCTATTTTAAATTGTTTCCGAAGGAACTAATTAAAGACTTTACCTCGTGATGTGGATAAGAAACAGTTAAAACTATGGTTGGCTTCGTGATATAAAGACTAGTTCCTTGACAATGACTACAACCTCGAACTCATGGTGAGCGTGAGTATCACTTAAGGTTATGACTAAACATGAGCAAGTATTCACTATTCATGAATGACATTACGCTTCTCTTACAAATGACCGTTGTCTGCTTGCTTTAATGAATCTTTTGAAGCTATACGCTCTGTTTCTGGTAGTTGTGATTTTAGATGGATGAAAGAATATTCGCTATTTGAGGCAAATGAAGTTTACTACTTTCAAGATTATGCTACGTCACTAGCTTTCGGTGTTCATTAATATAATTTATTTGGTGATAAAACTATTGGTCTCTTTCAGCATACTTTTTTTTCATGTAGTTTCAATAACAACACACTTTTAGTACGGAAGCATGTACAATTATCACGTGATCTCTTCATTGAGTACTTTTATCTTGTGTCTTTGATCACATGCTTGACATAGGTATTAGCACCTGTATCACACAGGCATTATACAGGTAGTTGTGGTAGTTGTGGTAGATGACGTCGACAGCAACTACTATGACTCAGGACAGGACCAGCTTCTCCAGCTGCAGCATGGGCGCCTCCACCAGGATGGCCAGCAGGAAGGAGAAGATGAACGACATGCACGTGTAGCCGAAGAAGCGGTAAACCTGGAATACACAACAATGTTGGTCTGACATTCTTTATATGACAGAACCTGATTTCAGCAAGCGTTACAAAATATACAATATAGGAGCCATACATGCTGATTTACCTACAATGCATTGATATCCGAACTTCCGGTATGATATATGAACGATTCCTTGGACAACGTATTATTTTTAGCATTTTCGGGAAATGTTTTTCAGTAGAAATTCCCAGCGTCCTTCACGAAGGAGGGTTAAGTCTCACATAGAAAGATTTAGCCTAAAAACATCAGAATATAAAACTATTTCTTAACATTTCAGATATTTCAGTTCCTCTTGGCTGTCAAAACTAATCGTAGAAATAGATTCCGTGAAAACCTTCTTCATGTTGGTGAGCAGATCTCATGGTCACGCAGAGCTGGATCAGGAGAATAAGATGAATGTTGATTGCATTCAAGCAGTGGTGCAGCGTCCTGATGGAAGAACACACCTGGTTGTTTGAACGTTGTAAACTCCTGTTTCATCAAGAGCGACAAACTTTTGCAAGAGCCTTTTGGATCAGTTCCAAACATAGATTGTCACAAGAAAATGCGTATGATGAGTAATTGATCAGATACCAGACGCTTTGGCATCCAATATGGTAATACATTCGTCATTGTCAAAGCTTCTGAGATAAACAATGCCTACTGAACTGTCAATGTGACGTTCAGATGTTTGCCAGTCTATCATCACTATATCGTGGATTCATTTCTTCTTGTGTTCTCAGACCTTCTGGAACAGGAGTCGTGCTCTCCCTGATGTGTAAAGTCTGCAGCCCTCTCTGGCCTGTATGTGTTTTCTTATTAATGTTTGATCAGATTCTGTAAAACGTCTGTGGCATATGTTTCAAAGGTATCCTTCAGATATTCAACGATGGAGAAGACGGGGTGTATATAATAACTATTGACTATAATTGATTACTACGCATTTTGTTCAAATATCCAATCGTCCTCCATTGTGTTTCAAAGGTAACAGCTATCAGGAGATATTTTCAACGATTTTGAAAGACGGTCATCGTTGCTAGCTTCTAGAACGTGTTAGCGTCGATTACTTTTAATACAGTTTCTTTTTGGACTACTACGCATTTTGTTCAAATATCCAATCGTCAACCTTCACAGACACTCTTCACAGAGATATACTTACAATGTATCCGGATGTAAAGTTGAATAGGGATCTCGCAGTGGCTGCTTCAGTCTGTATAAACATGAGGTGTACAAGGTAGACCCCGTATGTGAGTCGAGAAAGAGGCTGCCACCAGTCCCAGGACAACATCCAGTCCACGAAACCTGTGGGAGGGACATTCTATGTACCTATGTTCAAGCTCCAATACAAAATCAATTCAGCAGTCATTTGAGCATGATATAAAACAGAATAACCAGTCTCTATTATCCTTCAAATCTCATTCCATATCATCCACGTATCTCGTCCGCAGTAATGTCCCGCTTGTCTAAAGCAATTAGTGAGACTGATATGGTGAACATGATATCAAGTGCATTGTTAATACAACTTTGTCTAAATACGATCGTTTCAATCAAGCATCACATGACACAATAGTGACAGCGTCTCAACATCCCTGATTGCACGCACCTGCTTTCCCCTTGAAGCACATGAAGATGACCCAGGCCAACACCAGCCCCCACACTGGTCTAAAGAGCGTCTCATGAGCCGTCCTTGCTTCAAGTCCCCAGCCAGGTCTCCCCTCAGCATTGGCGTCATAGGTCGCCAGTGTACAGGCCCCGGCTGCCACCAAAGCCAGGAGCCAGCCCACTCCCTGCAGGAACTGGAACAAATAATGTACCACAGTTGTCTGGTACAATCTGGTGTGATCTCTGAAACTCCCTGTTTAACGTAGGAACATTAATTCAAAATATGTAGTATCCCTACTATACTCGAGTAAATTAAAGTGAATCATGACGCATGAATACATGCACGCTTCTTCCAGTGATAAAACGGTTGGGGAACCAAAAGCTAAGGCCCCAACACACTGAAATATTACATACGGTGTTTTGAATTCCCGCATGTAGATTGGTAGAGGTTATTCTAGATTTTGACTCTACTGAGGCCCCAGTACTGTTGGTTTTCATTACCTGCAGAAACACGAAAGCTAATTGTTTGGTTAGCTTTCTACAAGTTGGTGAGTCAATAATGAAGCGCACGACTTTGAATAATGATAAGTATATGTACTGTTGCTGCCTTTGTTGACAAATGTCATCGTTTTACAATTGCGTAGAACGATGCTCATGATGTTGCTCACTGGATTGTCTGGTCCAGACTCGATTATTTACAGACGACCGCTACATAGCTGGAATATTGGACACCGGAATTTTGCTAAGTGCGGCGTAAAACAACGAACCAACCCACTTGGTCATACATAAAGTCGTATGCCTTGTGAACACGTAAGCTGTCTATGATTATCTAGTTGCAGTATTTGTATTCAGGTTGGGAATACGTAGTCAAGAACCTGATGAACGTCTAAAGGCTATTGGTATGCTTCACACTTGTCTCATTCCGTGATCTGCAAACCCGTGAAGATCGAGTTAGAATCGGCCTTAAGCAACCCATGCTTACCGTAAGAGGCGACTAAGGTAGTCAGGCTCGCAGACGTACGCACGACATACACGTTTCGGAAGTTTACCTTTTCTTTAAGCATAACGATGTCTACTACTCACTGGAGACATCTTGACATCGCGGGACTTGAAGGTGTGAAGGATGTAGCCTAGCATCATCCCTATGGCGAATGTTCCGATCCGACACCAAGGTTTCTCGTACACCATTTCAAAGTATACCAAAGTGTTTCTACAAAATATCAGTTATAATGTCAGCTTAATAGACATTGTGTATTCTTTGCTTTAAATATTCAAAGGCAGCCCGGGGTTTGCTGCTCCATTTGCTCTTAGGAGAATGGTCCGTGCAGGGAATGCAGACCCGGGTACTCGTCCAATGTCAATCAAGAGAAGGACCAAACCTGAGGCACCAAGCACAATGGGTAGTCAATGGCTGCCCTAACTGAATGATGTACGTTTGGTTCAGTGGAATACATCCTCCTTACCCAGGCCCACCATGCGTACATGTTCAGGTCATTAGTAATGCTATAATATTTTACAGATTAAGATTTAATGCAGCAGAGAGAGGGGTTGGGTGGTCCTGGCACAGTGTGGCTGGTAAGGCTCATCATCAGCTCAGGTACCCTTATCATTTCTATTATTAATATTATTGGAATTCAATCGGCCTACATATGATAGATAATGGTGAACACTAGCTATGGAAATTATCAAATCAGTGAGCTGAGTGTTTCTCTATAATTTTAGATATCACTGAAAGTCACCAGAGTTCTCGGGGGCGTCTCGTTGGTAATGTTCCACCCGCCACCCCCATCTATCTGCTTACTGATGCTCATGCGATCCCCGTAAGATTCAAAGACTGTCCGTAAACATGTGAAGTAACTGAATATTTGAAAATACATTAAAATGTTTTCTCCTTACTTGTAAAGGTCAGCGTTGTACTCGAATGTGAGTGAGGCGGTGGTGGCGACGCTGCAGATGAGGTAACCGAACACAACAGTGATACCCGCTGCCTTGAAGATCTTCCCAGCTGTAGCCTCCGTCCATCTCGAACTGCAGTGATGAAATGGATGGAACACACATCTATATTATTTGTAATCAGATATTCGTTAGAACATGATGTGTGCAGGTGACACTAATGAGGACATGATGCGACCAGGTGACTTTACTGACGCCGTGATGTGACCAGGTGACTCTACTGAGGCCATGATGTGACCAATTGACTATACTGAGGCCATGATCTGAACAGAATCTGATCTATACAACGGCCCGCTCATTTGAACTTGTCTTTGTTATTTTCTATAATTTCATGTTTAAGCCTGTAAAGTTTGCTTTGGCCGTCAGTATTTACTCTTTCATGACTGAAACCCCAAGCCCTCACCTTAATACCCACCAGAGGGCTAGCGACGCTATCAACCAGACACGCTTACCTCAATATGTGAAAGGGCTCCACTAGAGATACCTTATAATTACCTCAATGAGTCCAAACAGAAATAGCCCCAGAACTTCCCTTACCAAAATGCCAGTGTTATTGAGCGTCAATAAAAATGTCGAACATCAGTGTTCACATGATGAAAGTCCAAAAAATACCATACCTCACGGGTTTAGTGGGAAAATATATACCTTAACGCCCATGGAATGAGGGCCAATGGAGCGACCACGTAGAACTGCATGTCGTTAGCCAAGTACCAGCCCCAGCCCATACACTGAAACAAAGGCAAGGGATAGAAACGGTCATTGACCATACGGCATGTCACGCTGTGACCATCATGCGACCCTGATCTGACAAGATGACGACACTCAGGTCATGATCTGATCAAGTGACGACACTCAGGTAATGATCTGATCAGGTGACGATACCAAAGCCATGATCTGACCAGGTTACGATAGTTTGGTCATGATCAGACCAGGTGACGATACTAAGAGTTGATTTGACCAGGTGACGACACTCACGCCATGTTCTGACTAGGTGACGATACCAAAGCCTTGATCTGACCAGGTGACCATACTTTGGCCATGATCAGACCAGGTGACCATACTAAGAGTTGATTTGACCAGGTGACGACACTCACGCCATGATCTGACCAGGTGACGAAACCAAAGCCTTGATCTGACAGGGTGACTATACTGAGGACTTGATCTGTCCAAGCGTCGATACTAAGGACTTGATCTGACCGGGTGACGATACTGAGGACTTGATCTGACCGGGTGACGATACTGAGGACTTGATCTGACCGGGTGACTATACTGAGGACTTGATCTGTCCAATCGTCGATACTAAGGACTTGATCTGACAGGGTGACTATACTGAGGACTTGATCTGACAGGGTATACTGAGGACTTGATCTGACAGGGTGACTATACTGAGGACTTGATCTGACAGGGTGACTATACTGAGGACTTGATCTGACAGGGTGACTATACTGAGGACTTGATCTGACAGGGTGACGATACTGAGGACTTGATCTGACAGGGTGACTATACTGAGGACTTGACTGAGGGTGACTTGAGGACTGACTGAGGGGTGACTATACTGAGGACTTGATCTGACAGGGTGACTATACTGAGGACTTGATCTGACAGGGTGACTATACTGAGGACTTGATCTGACCAGGTGACGATACTGAGGACTTGATCTGACCGGGTGACTATACTGAGGACTTGATCTGACAGGGTGACTATACTAAGGACTTGATCTGACCGGGTGACTATACTAAGGACTTGATCTGACAGGGTGACTATACTAAGGACTTGATCTGACAGGGTGACTATACTGAGGACTTGGTGACTGACCAGGACTTGATCTGACCAGGTGACGATACTGAGGACTTGATCTGACCGGGTGACTATACTGAGGACTTGATCTGACCGGGTGACTATACTAAGGACTTGATCTGAGCGGGTGACTATACTGAGGACTTGATCTGACCGGGTGACTATACTGAGGACTTGATCTGACAGGGTGACTATATTGAGGACTTGATCTGAGCGGGTTATTATACTGAGGACTTGATCTGACAGGGTGACTATACTGAGGACTTGATCTGATCGGGTGACTATACTAAGGACTTGATCTGACAGGGTGACTATAATGAGGACTTGATCTGAGAGGGTGACTATACTGAGGTCTTGATCTGACCGGGTGACGATACTAAGGACTTCAACTGAACCGGGTGACTATACTAAGGACTTGATCTGACCAGGTGACTATACTGAGGCCATGATTTGACAATACTATTCGAATAAAAGCTGTATTGTATATGAGGGTGTTATAAAAATCATATCACGATCATATCAACCACGAGAGATGATACTACCAGTGCTTGTTGGCTTTAGCAGGAGGATAATAATATCACGGCTTACGCCACCGTGGGACATGAAGTTGTCTTGTCTTGATGAACGAAACAGAGCCCACCATATACACTAACCCTTGTAGCGCCGGGTTAGGATTGGTTTCCGTGCTGTTGTACAAAGCAACCTTATCACTACGACTGCAGTACGTCTTTGTTAAGGTCACCTTACCACTGAGATCTTTTTTGTAAAACGGCGCCTAAGTTGCCCACGCTTATCGTAAGACACCGGGTGGTCACGATTGATAACGTAGTTGACGCATGTCATCGTATCATAATTGCGTACAAAGATGATCACCATATAAGTCATTTAATGTGTTATCCAAACTGGATAATCTACAGACCGCCGCCATGCAGTTGGGAGATCCGACGTTAAACAACAAATAAACGAATAACAAATTCATTCCAACGGGTGATAAAGGTGTTACCTGTTTCTTTGCTTCATAGACATTGTTGATGTAGAGTAGGCTCGTCCACCAGTATTGCTCACACATCTTCTTGTCATACGGCCCAACCCACGTTGGACCATCCGCCAGATGACTCACTAGGAACGTGTAGACGAACATAACGTAGGCATAGACGGGCGTCAGTCTGCATCAGGAACACATTTCACATTTAACCAGAGCTGTTGTAAGAGATTGATACTTATACACGTGGAAAAGAAATTATGGTATTGAACATTAGTATCTGTTTGTTTGGTTGGTTGGCTTGTTTATTGGTTGGTTGGCTTCTTGTTTAACGCCGCTCTCAACAATAGTCCAGCTATATGGCGGCAGTTTGTAAATAATCGAGTCTGGACCAGACAATCCAGTAATCAACAGTATGAGCTTCTATCTACGCAGTCGGGATACGATGCATCGACCAAGTGAGCGAGTCTGACCACCCGATTCCATGAATCGCTTCTTACGACAAGCTTGGGTTGCTGAAGTCCAATTCTAACACGGATCTTCACGGGTTGGGCATTAGTGTAACATGCAAAGGATAAATAGAGGACATTAGGTTGACTGAGTGGACGTGGTCAGGTTAGTGTTCGTATGCAACTACAGGCAAGAAGATGTGAGTTTATATCTCCACCACAGTGTCGCAAGTTCCCTACTTTGAACACTTCTTGAGAATATTTTTATCGAAATACCCCTTCACTGTACCTAAAATACCCCTAAATTGTCTATGGTGACAAAACAGAATACGGTCCAAAAGGTTTCCCGTATATCATGGCGATCTAAGCTGCCGCACAAAGGAAAGAATATACGTTTTTATACCGTTCTACGTTTCTGGTCAAATATTATTTTCAAGTTTAAACTTCCTTGTGCCCGCCAGTATATCATCAATGATAGGGGCCTGGCAGTGAAGCTTTCACCTAGAGTTGACTGACCTCAAGTAGCGGTGGACGTAGTACATGACCATGTGCTTCACCTTCAGACCTCCAGCCTTCTCTGTCTCCTTCAGGAACAAGTACGTCACCAATAGGCCACTGCGAAACAAGGAAGATAACGTATATTTTTAATATGAAACCAGATATTTATTATTTACGGAAACAATATAACGATAAGTAAACAAATGAAAGTAGGAAATACTTTGTCCTTTGTACGATTCAAACTATACCCAAATGCAAGCGTTCTTGTGACACACAAACAACAAACAGAATCAATGGGGACCTTGCAGTGACCGTGAACGAATTGTTATGATATACCATGCCCAGATACCACACTGATATACTATGCCTAAATGCTACACTAATACACTGTAACAATGTACTACACATATATACCATAACGATATACTACACTTATATATCATGCCGATATACTACACATATATACCATAACGATATACTATACTTATATACCATGCCGATATACTACACTTATATACCATACCAATATAATACACTGATTACACCATACCGATATACTACACTGATACACCATACCGATATACTACACAGATGCAACATTCCGATACACTACACCGATACACCATACCGATATATTACACCGATACACCATAACGATATACTGCACTTATACAACATACCAATATATTGTTGTTTAGACGAGGGAGGAGCTTGGATTGTTATATCAACCTCTCGCCACGTGCCGAGGTTGTATATCAACCTCTAGCGACGTGGCGAGGTGACATAGCTTAGCGACAAAGCTGTCAGGTGACCAATGGGCCAATCAGAAGGGCGGAAATCTAACCATCATACAATAAACCAAACTGATACACCATACCGATATACTATACCGATACACAATACCGATGCACTACACCGATGCACCATACCGATATACTACACTGATACACCATACCGATATACTACACAGATGCACCATACATATATACTACACCGATACACCATACTGGTATACTACACTGCTACACCATACTGATATACTACACTGATAAACCAACCGATATACTACACTGATACACCATGCTGATATACTACACTGATACACCATACTGATATACTACACTGATACACCATACCGATATACTACACCGATACACCATACCGTTATACTACACTGATACACCATACCAGTATACTACTCAGATACACCATACCGATATACTACACTGATACACCATACTGATATACTACACCAATACACCATACCGATATACTACACTGATACACCATACCAGTGTACTACTCAGATACACCATACCGATATACTACACTGATACAACATACTGATATACTACACTGATACACAATACCGATATACTACACCGATACATCATACTGATGTACTACACTGATACACCATACAGATATACTACACCAATACACCATACCGATATACTACACCGATACAACATACCGATATACTACACCGATACACCATACTGATATACTACACCGATACACCATACTGATATACTACACCGATACACCATACCGATATACTACACCGATACACCATACCGATGCACTACACCGATACACCATATCGTTATGCTACACTGATACACCATACCGATATACTACACTGATACACCATACCGATATACTACACTGATACACCATACCGATATACTACACTGATACACCATACCGATATACTACACTGATGCACCATACCGATATACTACACTGATACACCATACCGATATACTACACTGATACACCATACCAATATATACTGAACCGCAAAGAAACGCACCGATAGAGGTTTCTTAAACCACACACTTTATTTCGCTCTAATTAACAATCAAAACGGAGGATTGCGTTCAAACTTGACAATTATAGTAAACACATTTTCGGAATCACATTTAGAGTTCACACAAACAAATTCACCAAAAATGGCACAACAAAGATACCTCAAAGTCAGTATCGTCTTGGCCTCCTACCGATATACTACCAAACACCCAAAGGTGTTCTATTGGACTTAAATCCGGACTGAGTGCAGGTCATTGTAGGGTTTGGATGCCATGTTGTCGTAGGAAGTCCAGGGTTGCTGTGGCAGTGTGGGCACGAGCGTTGTCTTGCTGGAAGATGTGATGTCTGTGACGTTCAAAATGTGGTACAACGTGGTGAGGTGAGGTGAAATTGGGTTTAACCAATCGCTCATATGACGACGTGCATGCGTGTGTATGTGTATGTGCGGCTGCTTGTTCTAGCCCAGATTGAAGCTGGTTTTATAGTGCTAGCCCACTGAGATACCATGCCGCAGTTAAGCATGGATACCCCACTCAGACACATTATACGGACTCCGAGCCGACCAGTCCTTGATGTACCCATTAATGCCGAGCGCCAGACAGGGACCAACAAGTACCATATTTTCGAACCCGCGACCTTCCGCTCTCCGGGCGGACGCTCTAAAACCACTAGGTACAAAGTTGGGTCTTATGACATGGTCAGTATAGCGAGCAGCTGTCACGCCATTTCTTCGTCCTGGACCATGCTTCTGGAACACTACGGGGGCAACTCTCGGGTTAAGACCGATTGCACCCCACACCATGATGCTTGGACCACCCCACTCACTCCTTCACCAATACTCGCATTGGAAAACCGTTCCCCCCATGCCTTCGCCATACTCTCACTCTGCCGTCGGCTGTCGAAACACAACATCGGCTTTCATCAGAACAATTCTGCATTGTCGATAACGTCAATTTCGATAACGTTGCCCATCGCAGTCGGTTTTGGTGGTAACGAGTGGTGAAGACAGGACCACGATATGGTCTGTGACAGCAGAGGTTTCTTTCGCGCAAACGTCTACGCACTGTATCGACACTAATAGGTGCCTGTAAGTCCCAATGGTCTGGCGAGCTGTTTGCATGGCTCTGGCGAAGCGATCCGGCAGATGGCTGCGCACAATCTGTAGGTCTTGACTTTGTGATGTTACTGCAGGTCGTCCACTATGTGGACGGTCTTGGATGCTGTTAGTGGCCTGATACCGTTTCTGCTGTCGGTAGATTGTCCGAACATGAACATTAAGATGATTGGCTCCCCTCCGTGCGGCCTGGCCAACTTCCAATCGTCCAAAGGCTTGGTTCCTCTTATCTCTCGTAAGTCATGGTATAGCGATTGTGTCAACACAAGAATGATTTCAGGCGAGTTTGGGACTCGCTTTCATTGGTAGGGTTTTCACGATCTGCACGTGCATTTTTCATTTTCACGAATGTCATACGGAACCTTTTACCACGTCTGTCTTTGTAGGTACGTTTTGTCGATATGCTTTTTCATCAGAAAACACACTGATGTTGGTAATAACTGTTAATGTGGATTGAAAAATATGTTAACAAAACGGTACAATCATAATCAAAACACTACCTTGTAAGAACAGAATTTTGCATTTGTTTTTGAAAAGTCGCGTTTCTTTTGAGGTTAATTATACTACACTTATATACCATTCTGAGATACTGACTCTGACCTGACCAGTCTTTGTTTCATACCTTTAATGCCAAGAAGAACCATATTTTGGTCTGACACGGTCATGGAATCGAACAATCGACCATCGGCTCCCTTTGGCAGAAACTCTACCCACTTCACAACAGATGCGGTCTAAAAGACACGCAAATTAAAAACGTCTGTTTAGTGAGTTATAACATTTTTTGCTACAGGAAATTGATCGGGGCATTTGAGAAACTATTGCAAACTAAGTCTCGAATTATCATTTAAATGTGACTCCCTCGAATCTTACCTGAGGACAAAGAAGGAATCAACAGCCAGGGTTGCGTTCATCATAATTTGGAAACTGAAACCCTGTATTGTCTTCACGAATGATTTGGGGTTTCCTGCAAGACAAGGACAAGTGAACTGAGGGCATCCACTCAACAGTGATTGAGTGTGTGTGGTGTTTCGCTGCTTTTAGCAATATTTCAGCAATATCACTGAAGTGGGCTTCACACATTGTACCCAATCTTCAGCATGACGAGAGGACGTTTAACCTTCAGGCTACCCCACCGCCCCTGGGAATGAACAGGAATTATCAGTGACAATATATACACTCGGTCTTCACATGTACATTCCAGAATTTCTATATTAGCGATAGTTGCAGAATGTATAGGATTGATAGTAAGGTAAGCAACAGATATGAATGCATTTGATGTAACACCAGTGTCATCAATGTGTTGAACATATATGTAGTCAATATCGTTCTACCTTCAAATGTGGTACTTATGGAATACTGGAAGGGACATTGTCGCCCTCGAAAAAATAAGCAAAGAGCGACCAAATTAACCAATGCGACAACAAAACAATGTCCTATTCATATCTGTATGGGTGTATTCCATTGTCAAGCATACACTAAACGCCAAAAGAAACGTTACCCTCTTACCTTTATGAATTACTGAACAACTATCAAAGATATGTTAGAAGATATTAGTGTACAAGAAAGCTTAATAAAACAGCTTTATGCAAATCACGAAACATTCATATTTACGTGAAATGCATCGTTTTCAGAAGAGTTAAATTGTCCTATATTCGTCCATGCCGAAATAATCCAATAACAGTGATTTTGATGTCCAAAAGAAAGGTTGAAATAAAATTCTACTTTGGAACAATGATAAACCATTTCAAGTCACCATTTTTCAACTATTAAAACAAGAAACATCTGTTGTAGAGTGTGTAAAATTGTAAAATAATCATTCCTATGATTTTCTCTTTTGAAACATTTTCTGCTGATTTATATTAGTGAAAACAAGTAAAGCGTATCTTTGATATTGTGAAAAAATGTTTAGGAACATCTAAAATTATCTTTGTTAACATTTTTGCTTGCAAAGTAATATTTTTCCATTTTCTATTTACACATAGCAATACCAATCGCCAAAACGCAGCAATATTCAAGCAGTATTTGCATCCATTTCACATTTAGAATGATTCTATAGGGTATGAAGAGAGCCTAAAATGCATGATTCACAAATACGAGAAATATGCCACGATTAACAGCAGAACAGAGAGAAAGAGCCATTGGAATGGTGCAGTTGGGGTTGACATACAATGCTGTTGCCAACGCCCTTGGGTGCCACCGTATCACGGTTATAAGACTTATTCAGGACTTCAGACAGACTGGGGTCACCGTAGACAGACCAAGAAGTGGACGTCCACGCATCACAAAGCCAGCTGAAGATAGGTACCTCCGTCATTAAGGAAGGAGGGTAACGTTTGTTTTGGGGTTTAGTGTACACCCACATCACCTACCTGCGTTAGACGCGGAATATAAGTACGTGTGGCCCAAAATGACCCAGCCGATGCTGAGGACCCGGATGCCGTGGAGACAGGTAATAGATGCAGGTGAACGTTTAACGCTGAGGATCTTCTCCCCATTGCTGACGGCTGAGAAACACAACAGGACACGCTCCCATACTGCCAATACATAATCAGAAAAGTTTCAATGCCACTTTAAATGTTACATTGCGTCTATATATCTGTCGGGCTAAAATTTCATTGATCAAACACAAAGCAACCGACAATTTAGAAACAAAATATTCTGTTATCGGTCTTATGACATAAAATTGTTTTTCACTGAATCTGCAAATCAGGATACACACCAGACTGGAGATCTATTCTGTCCAGTAAAGTTACACTCCGTTAACACCTGGTGTCATCTGAGTTGTTCCTTCATGTTATTTTCACCACTATTTTACTTTTACATTACAACTGAATCTGTTTCGAGAATAAGTGAGACTGGTTATTCTCTGGCTTTCACGGGTTATACTTTGTTAAACCTGATGCCAATTTACTTGTTCCTTCCTATATAACTTAGTTTACAGTATACATTAAAACCATATAGAATTGATCTTTAGTCCCAATTGCGTAGATTGTCGTCAAGAGGCGACTAACGGAATCGGGTGGTCAAGCTCGCTGACATGGTTGACACATATCATGTCAAGTGCTGTTGATCACTGGATTGTCTGGTCAAGACTCGATTATTTACATTAGAACTCTAACACCACAGTTACTTATGCATATGAATGAAACTCGAGTTTGGTTTAAAATGTCAGTGTTCACTTATCAACAAGAACATTATAGAGCGTACACTTAGGCTTATATTTCTGGTCACGTTGTTTGTCCACTGTTCGGGGCTGCTGTTTAGAATACACCAAGTGTCCACCGTTTGTCTCCTGAACTTGTGGGCCTGCAGGGTTGTCTATTCCACCGTTCTCAATATTGAGACGTGAATTCTCAATCAAGCCATTTGTATCTGTTTTCCCATTTGTAAATGCCGTTTCAACAGAATGGTTCAAGGTAGTACAGATCTCGTCAAGTTTAACTTTGTCTTTACGAGGACTCAGGGGAACCTTTTGACGACGATCTTTGGTGGCCCGGATGTACAGATCCACACCAGAACCCAGAAGAACCATGCATCCCAAGATGGCTGTCAGGACGCTGAAATCGTCCCAGACAGAGAGGAGTGTACAGACGTGAAATGGAAAAGAAAACATACGTGTATTGCAGTATTCAACAGGACATTTTAGCTCATATTTGTTGAGTCTGCTTAACTGACGAGCAGGTCGCTGCAATAGTAAGAAGAGTAAGGTACTTTATGGATGATATTTATGAATGCCGACCAAACAGATCACGCAGCAATAGGTCTCGAGAGAGACGTGTCAAAATGTTGAACAGGAATATATTTGCAACTGCTGCGCATGAGTTCACGAAACGAGTCGCCTTGTTGTCTTAGGTGCCGGAATTCGCTGTTCGAATCCCGGTTAGTTCCGGTAAGGTTTGACCGAACCATCCCTGAGCTCATGGGTTTCACCAAAGACTAACGTCACATCCGGCTTTCCTACATAACTAGACCGTTGTTCAAGAGGCGTTAACACAACTCAGCAACTCACTCCTATCACCCGGTGCAACTATAAGTTCAGTTTGCAAGCCTGTTATCTCTAATCACTTTGTAGTACAAATGGACGTGACCGCCTCCGTGGTGTACTGGTTTGAGCGTCCGCCCGGAGAGCGGAAGGTCGCGGGTTCGATCCGCGTCATACCAAAAGACGTTAAAATATGGTACTTGTTGGTCCCTGCCTGGCGCTCGGCATTAATGGGTACAACAAGGACTGGTCGGCTCGGAGTCCGTATAATGTGTCTGAGTGGGGTATTCATGCTTCACTGCGGCATGGTATCTCAGTGGGCTAGCACTATAAAACTTTAGTCTGGGCTAGTACAAGCAGCCACACATACACATACACACGCATGCACGTCGTCATATGAGCGAAATATTCTCAAGCTCGACGTTAAACCCAATTTCACCTCACCTCACAAATGGACGCTAAAAGGAGCACAAATTAGTTCACTTGCTCTAAGGTGTGGCACAGATATTACTAAGTGTTCTCGATGCGAGTCTCACCCACGCCACAGTGAATGTAGTAACTATATAACTAACAACATCCAACAACTGATGATACATACATGATATATTCAATACTCACATGGCTCCAACCGCACCACTGTCGTTACTGACGGGGCCGTTCTTTATTTCCGAATGACACACCACTCTTGCCACTGTCAAGTTGACTTGCGATAGACCTGTAACGTCAGTATTAAACACTGCATATCTAGATTCCGGATACTACTTGGTGCAGTTTGTAAGTTTATCTATTTGGCACATCAGTTTTTTTGTTAACTGCCAGGCCCAGTGTACACACCCGCGTTGTTGTAGGCAGACGAGGCTCATAATGTTGCCGATCCTTGTATTCGAACATGAATGATTACCAGAACTACGACCCAGGGCCCCGTTTCACAAAGCAATCGTAGCGATACGATTATCGTAACACCTATAAAGTAACATAGACCTACGACAGTCGTAGCGCTAAGATACCTTTGTGAAACGGGGACCTGATTCTTATTTTATATCTATTTTCTTCATTAATGACAAGGTGTGGAGCCATGAACTGACTGTAACGAGCCTCACTGATCGGCCATAACACAATCTGTTTAATCCCCTAGAACTGACATTGTTGTGACATCTACACACGTGACCAGTGCACTTTGAACACAGGGGATTATGTTTGTGTTATATCTAGAGTTACGTATTACAGAGTGATATAATTAAAGACTCCTTGTTGAGATGGGTTGCTTGTACAAGTCACACACTCACGGCTCTGGAGCCCCGTCTGGACCAATCCTGCTGCCGCAACTACTGGGAAGACACAGGTGCCAGTTGAAGACCAGTTGTTGTCCGCCCAAAATGCCAGCAGCCTGTGCATTAAATGTCAGTTTAAATAATCCCTGAAATATGTTGTGTTATATCAAGTGTAGATATAGCCTATTCTGATTGGTATACACGTAAGATGGGACACATCTCTCTCTCTCTCTCTCTCTCTCTCTCTCTCTCTCTCTCTCTCTCTCTCTCTCTCTCTCTCTCTCTCTCTCTCTCTCTCTCTCTCTCTCTCTCTCTCTCTCTCTCTCTCTCTCTCTCTCTCTCTTGTGATTAAATTCATTGCTTAATAGAAATTTCATAATGGCAAACTGTTACATAATCAGGTATTGACAGTTCTGATGGGAAGTGACAGAAGCAAACAGCCTTATGTTTCACATTTCAGGCCACTCCAAGTGGAGGATTCAAAATATAATCTGACTAAGAGGATAGAAAGGGTGGTGGCATATGTTGTCTAACTTGAATCTTCGAAGTAGGTGTCAATAACCTGAATTTCTAGAAAGAAGGGCTGTAATCAGGACCTACATTTCCTCCACCTCCACCTCCCATCATGCCCAACAGCTGTGCAGGAGGTTTAATGCTGACAACGCAGGTGTCCCCCTTCACTTCTCTCCCTGTGGCTGGGTCCACCTTACTGGGTCCGTCAAGACATTCGTCAAAGTTGCCGAAAAAGGTCGTGGCCCCTTCCATGATGGCGGTGCCAGGTTTTCCGGATGCATCGAACACTGCAAGTAGGAAACTCAAATATTGTTTGGAATTATCCAATTATGTTTCGGCATACAGATACCACTCTTTTCCTTACGTATGTTTTATATACAACTTTTGTTTGTGAAGTATATCTATTATGGCAAGGTATCATAATCATAGATCCAAACGCGGAATGCTCCTTCCTTTAGGAAAGATCTTCGGAAACTGACTTTACGTAGGGAAACCCAAAAGGGCCAGTATCGCGTTGTGGCAGTATTGACCCATCTGATATGAGTAAAAATGGTGTAAAAATGTGCCACGATGTAATCGAGGGGCCTATTTCAAAGTCACACTATATCAGGTTGTGCCAATACTGACTCCTCTGATATGAATGTAAATGGTGTAAAAATGTGCCACAATGTAATCGAACGGCATATTTCAAAGTCACAATATATCACGTTGTGGCAGTATTGACCCATCTAATATGAGTAAATATTGTGAAAAAATGCGGCAGTGCGACATATCATTATGTGGTCAAGTCTGCGTCATCGCGTTCTCAAGTATTTTAACTCCATTAATACAAACATTACATGGGGCGACAATGACACAACTCGACATATTGTGGTTGAAATATATTACTTGATTACATTGTGGCACATTGGTGAAAATATTATTCAAAGCGCGACAATGTGACAACGTGACAATACGAGGAATGACTAAAATGTCACGTTGTTGCATGGTCGCATTGTTGCGTTTTGGTGCATTTAAAACAAATGCTTGTTTTGTGTAAGAGCGACAATGTGACAACACGATCATGTCACTTCTAGGATTCTAGACGTACTGGTTGTGTATTCTGTAAATCGTCATGTGAAGCACGTCATGTACAGAAGCCATGGGAAGAATAGGGAGTTCTTAAACTTTTTTGAGTACTATACAAGGCCAGTGATTCTTAAATACACACAATCTCAACGCTCATTCCTCAAGGAACATTGTACTCACTGTTAAGTGCCCATATCTTCATCAGTAAGAGATCGGTTAGATACGTGTCCATATCTTCTGAACATGTCCGTTCCTCTGTGGTCAGTCCGCTTGTATTTGACTGTAGCAGACCCTTCAAGATAGTCGGGAGCTCAGGTGAGGCTCTTAAAAAGACGTGTAATTGATTCTAGATCGGGGGTTCCTTCCTCCATGAGAAGGGGCAAGATGGAGTTCCTCATTCCTTCTGGGATCTTGTTCTGCATGGAAATGAGTGAAAGCGGGAGTCTTGAAGTTGTAGGGGATGTTGCGTTGGCGGAGGAGTTTAGGACCGTGGGTAGGAATGAGTTTAACAGCCCGGATAGAAAAGAGCCTAGTGTTTGAGTGGTGGTATTCCTGGGCATCAGCGTGGTAGTAACCGGGGACGTAGTCTTTGCAGGTTGGGCAGATGATGTCTTCTCAGCAGAATTGGACAGACTTGTCACAGTTTGTGGTGAGGTTTGAGTGTGAGTGGTCTCACTACCACTCATTGACGTGTTACTGGGAAGTGATGATCCGTGATCTGTGGTTGTGGAGGACACTGCTGACGAACGATGTGTTGAGAGGACACAGAAGAGAAGTAACAGTCTGATGAACTCCATGGTGCGGGGTCTTTCAAGAAATGGCTGTAGGCTTCAAGAGTATTAACGACAATCTCGTCAAGAAGTGTATCTGGTTTTACTTATAAAAATATAGTGAGTTCTTTTTTACAGGTTTGGTGATTTTCCTCTCAATCAGCTGAGAGGTAAGTTCGTGTAACCACAAAGGTCAGCCACTGTACAGTCTCCACAATATTGTCACCCGACCCCGTACAGCAGTCCTGTCTGTTGTTTGTCAGGTCCCGTACTGATATCAACATCACCGGGGGACGTGCTTTTATCAGTATACGTTAAACATAGCATTTACTCATAAGCTTGGGATCGTTGTGAATCATGTCACATTCCCCTGTATCCAAGTACATAAGTCCAGGTAAACTCGATCCAACAGATAGTCAAAATAACGTTCCAAATACAGGTTGCTTGTTTCTTGTATCATTTTTTGGTTTGCAATAAAAATAACATTTTGATTGAAATAATTATTTGCATAATGTTTGGACAATGGGTATATATTTCTCTTAGTTGATAGCTTGATGTTAGCATCACTTTATGGTAATTACCTCACGCTTTGAATTGTTCCATACGTAAATCATACGTAATCATCGATACGTGTCAAATGCACTTTTCCTCCAATGCATTAATAGATATTTCTAGAAGATAAAATTCATGACTGCATGATATCTCCCATAATGCATATATTTGTAATAAAGGGTGGGAGTGAGTATGGTTTTACGCCGCTTTAAGCAATATTCTAGCAATATCACCGCGGGCGACACCAGAAATGGGCTTCACATATTGTACCCATGTGGGGAATCAAACCCGGGTCTTCGTCGTGACGAGCGAACGATTTAACCACTAGGCTACCCCACCGCCCCTGTAATTAAGGGACGAGGTGTTAGGATCTACATATTCATTGTTGGTGTCCCAAAAGTTATGTACTGGATGAGCATTTGTTCCAATAGTGACAACCCTTTCTGTCGTGTTTGCACAAGTTCTTAGAACCGGTTGAAAGATATTCTACTTGGAATGTCATAATACTCGGACATCTGCAATCATTTTTGTTTAATTGAATCAACTCTATAAAATCCGAAACCCACACCACAACTATGACATTCACGCAGACTCAACACTGCTGTACAACCTATCGGAGAGGTACACTCACGTGCAAAAGAAACGACCCAAAGTATTTTTCAACTACCAAACAACATAAGCACAAACACAAATTGACCTGCACGTTTAATAGGCATAACAAAGATGTATGTAAAGTATGTCTGACATAAAGAAAGAGAACGTGGTAAACCTGACAGTGGTACAGGGAATATTATCACAAAGGGGTCGATTGACCAGTATTCGAGCGCAAGCCAAAACAACAAATGACAAAACAGAGGTTACATTGGGTGCACATCAGAACAAGTCGTCGGGCCTAGTGTGTAAGTCTCCTGATCACGTGACTGGGGATCTGACGCCATTCTGTCTGTAATACCTGAGCCACTGTATTTCTCGTCAATGGAGGGTGTGAAAGCTGTAGAATCCGACGTCCAAGATGGTCCCACAAGTGCTCTGTCGGAGACATGTCAGGGGATCTTGGGTACCAAGGCTGGACGTTCACGTTGTTGACGTTGAGAAAGGCCGTTGTGACAAAAGCGGTGTGAAGTGTGCCATTGTCTTGTTGAAACAAGGTTCCTGGATATTGCTGGAGTAAAGGCTGGATACGGGGCCGCAGAACTTCATCAATATACCGACGGACTGTCAGGTTGCCATTGATGGCAAGGAGGTCTGCCTTGGTGTTCCCACAAATGCCACCCCAAACCGTCACACTCCCTCCACAATATGGTTACGTTTCCTGAACGCAACAACGTGCCGTCCGTTCCCCACGCCGTCGGTAGACACGTCTTCGGTCGTCAGTGCTGTTCAAATGGAACCTACACCCCTCGCTAAAGAGGACCCGTTGTCGGTTCCGTTGCTGCCACTGACGAACATTCCTGGCCCAAACCAATCTTCGACGTTGATATTTTGGCGGTAACGTCATGTCCCTCAACGGTCTTACGGCTCTGATTTCCGTGCTGACGGAGTCGTATGGACACCGTCCACCTGCTGACGCGATGGCCAACACTATGCACTGATGATGACGTCACGGCGAGGAATCTGTTCCTTGAATGAAGCGTTCGTATATAACGGTCTCATGGGGTAGTGTCTTCCGGTCGCCTGCTCATCGGCCTGTCTGCTGTCTGGCCAGTTTGTCTGTAACGTGTGACCAATGTCCCAGTCGTCCTTTTGGCACGACCCAGGATTCTTCCAACATGGTCGTGCGTTGTCCCCAGCCGCAGCATGCCAATCGCTCTTTCTCCCTGTTCTGATGTTAATCGAGGCATGTTCTTGTGGTTTTCCAGATGATTGTGATTGCAAAGAACAGTTTCCAACGTGTTTCATAACCGATCTCCATACGGGTGATTTCCTGCACGTGCAGGAAATTTCACTGCATAAAGTCATTTTCCCCGCTTCTGACAAGCAACACGTGCATTTCTTTGGGGTGTTATGCATTTGTGTGTTTGGGCAATGTGTTCCGAACTGTTTTACCTGTTTTTGGCCATATCCAGCAAATATAATATAATTTGAATTTTGGGGACGTTTCTTTTGCACGTGAGTGTATTATTAATTTCACATTTATATTCTTACATGAGTTTGCACATTATTATCTATGTCATTTCAAGGACTTGGTTGGCTTCAAATGTATTTCAGGTGTGCACACTGACATGAAACGGCAGTGTGTGTCAAATTGTCAATAATTCAAGGCGTTGTATATATGTTACAGGGAATGTGTGAAGCCAGGGATTTCACGTAACCCCTAAAAGAGTCAATGATTTCGTGAAATCCCTGTGACCCCCAGGGATTTCATGTATTCAATAAAATTTCAAGGGATTTGATGAAATTACTGATTTTCATGGTGTTCCACTACACACTTTCCCTGTTATTATATCAGTGAACGTATGAAATTAATGTTTGTAGCTTAAAACTTAGGAGTTTATAACTTTGACCATGATTCGGGGTACCAAGGTCATTTTCTCGCGACTTTACTGTTGAGTCTCATGTCATCCCTCAGGTCTTAGGAGTTGAAAACTTTGACAATTTACTGATGACACTCTTGGCTAATTACTATCTTTTGCGTTTAGCGTTAAGTGCCAGCGCAGATCCAAGCTAACGACAATTATAGAACAGGCGTGAAATCTGGTATCCTCAAAGGCTTGTTCACAAGTTTCTATATCAACTGTGGCTTTGAGGTGTAATCGGTATTTCTAACAAACGGGGGCGGTGTGGTAGCCTAGTGGTTAGAGCGTTCGCTCCCAATGCCAAAGACACGAGTTCTATTCCTAACATGGGTACAATGTGTGAAGCCCATTTTTGGTGTCCCTGGAATATTATGCTGGAAAATTGATAAAAGCGGCGTAAAACCACTTTTACTCACTCGTTCAAACGAAAAAGGTCCGGTTTCAGCGACATAAAAATGGCTAGTGCGCATTAAGATTACAGTGACGCACAAACTGCAATATGAGTCATATCCTTGGTGTCATCATCTCTTAGGTGACCAACTGACTTGCTTTTGCATGTGTTTGTGACGGATACTATCAGTTGGGCAGGATACACTTATCTTTTCGCGACACCTAATATCATCACTATTTGAAAGTGATTCATGAACGAATTGTCTTGATTTTGTTGGAATCGTAAATGTGATTTTTTTCTGAATATTTTCTGTATATTTTCATGAGTTTGTTTTCATATAAAGGTAATGAAATTCATATCCGGGTTAGAATTGATCTTCATTAACACATGCTTGTCGTAAGAGGCGACTAACGGATCGGGAGGTCAGGCTCGCTGACTTGGTTGGCACATGTCATCGTTTCTAAATTGCGCAGATCGATGCTCATGCTGTTGATCACTGGATTGTCTTGTCCAGACCCGATTATTTACAGACCTAGGCCATACAGCTGGAATATTGCTGAGTGCGGCGTAAAACTAAACTCACTCATGCATTGTATTTCATATCAGAGTAATATTAGCGTTCGTTTATATCCCATGCGCAGAGTGACTACGAGTGAGTCATTTAATTTGGAACGGCGTTTCTTCCACACCCATACAGTGTATTCCCGGTAATGGAGGAACGTGGTGAATACATGGTGTAAAGTCCGAGAGTCAGTGAGTACGGACGATACATTTGTCACAAACGTGATGTTTTTTTACCACGGTACAGACGGTTCAGAGCCGCTCCATGTCCTAAGTCCAATTATATGAATGTAAATGATCTTTGGTTGAAAGCACAAAAGAGAGGTATTTTTGCAATACAGATATATTTGGTTTAGAAAGGTACTTGACTTGCGTCAAGTTACATGTCCACTCCCTGACTTTGTATACCTATGTTTTCACCATTTGAAATTATTAACTCTTTGTTGCTGATGTATAACCAGCTCCAACATGCCGGTAATCTTTGTTGCTGATGTATAACCAGCTCCAACATGCCGGTAATCTTTGTTGCTGATGTATAACCAGCTCCAACATGCCGGTAATCTTTGTTGCTGATGTATAACCAGCTCCATCATGCCGGTTATCTTTGTTGCCAATGTATAACCAGCTCCAACATGCCGGTTATCTTTGTTGCTGATGTATAACCAGCTCCAACATGCCGGTTATCTTTGTTGCCAATGTATAACCAGCTCCAACATGCCTGTTATCTTTGTTGCTGATGTATAACCAGCTCCAACATGCCGGTTATCTTTGTTGCCACTGTATAACCAGCTCCAACATGCCGGTTATCTTTGTTGCTGATGTATAACCAGCTCCAACATGCCGGTAATCTTTGTTGCTGATGTATAACCAGCTCCAACATGCCGGTAATCTTTGTTGCTGATGTATAACCAGCTCCAACATGCCGGTAATCTTTGTTGCTGATGTATAACCAGCTCCAACATGCCGGTTATCTTTCTTGATGTATAACCAGCTCCAACATGCCGGTATAGCCATGTATAACCAGCTCCAACATGCCGGTAATCTTTGTTGCTAATGCCGGTCTTTGTTGCTGATGTATAACCAGCTCCAACATGCCGGTTATCTTTGTTGCTGATGTATAACCAGCTCCAACATGCCGGTAATCTTTGTTGCTGATGTATAACCAGCTCCAACATGCCGGTAATCTTTGTTGCTGATGTATAACCAGCTCCATCATGCCGGTTATCTTTGTTGCCAATGTATAACCAGATCCAACAT